GATAACTACGCGTTAGATATTCACAAGTTAGATATTGACAAGTTGGTTAAGTACGCGTTAGGTATCCACAAATTGGATAACTAATTATGTGGTGAAATACAGTAGACGCTCGTTATATGGCTGTTTTGTATATGTATTGCAAGTGTAAGTTCCTTTTCGTGTTTCATCCTTATGTTGGGTATTCACAAGTTTGATAACTACGCGTTGGATATCGACAAGTTAGATATTGACAAGTTGGTTAAGTACGCGTTAGGTATCCAGAAATTGGATAACTACGCATTGGATATTGTCGCGTTGGATATCCACAAGCTTGCTAACTACGTGTTAGATATTCACATGCTGGATAACTATGCGTTAGATAACCACAAGTTGGATAACTACGCGTTGGATAACTACGCGTTAGATATCCACAAGCTTGATAACTACGCGTTAGATACCCACAAGTTCAATAATTACATAGCAAATAACCACGCGTCAGATCTCTACGCGTCAGATATCCACAAGTTGTATAACTACACGTTAGATATTCACAAATTTGGTAACTATGCGTTAGATATTCACAAATTCGATAATTACACGTTAGATATCCACAAGTTAGATAACTACTCAATGAATATCCAGAAGTTATGCGTTAAATAACACATTTCGTTTAATCACACGCCAACGCGTTTTATCGTCACCCATCATACAACCAAAAGTTGCAAAGAACTCTCCATATTACCAATCTCAACCTTCCCATTTACAGTAATATAATGCGAGTATCAGTAAATGTCTGAGACTTGCAATCCCTTAATCAACCCTATGCCCAACATTGGATCAATATAATCAATATAATATTTAGATTCAATATAAACCTCAACCAGCTACAATATTGTCATCAAATATCAAAATCTTCACCGCTAATTTCCCACTACCATATAACGAGACTCTACCGTACCTCAAATTTCTCCACGTCATCTTTATATCTCCACATACTTCAGTATCCTCACATGCTGGCTAATGACCTTGGCAATCCTATGATCCACACTTTCGCTCATATCAGACCTGCCATCGACCAGGTGTTCCAGCCACCGCATCAGAACCTCCATCTGCCCGCAAGCGTGCACCGCCAACACGGCCGCCAAACTGCAACTTCCAACCGTGATAGCGTTGATCAATACCCCAGCAACGAACTGAATGGAGAAGACGATCTCGTTGACGGGAGAATACCGTATGTCTACAATGTGCTTAGAAAAGGGATACATGACAGGGATGAAGGAAACGTTATCGGTGGCAATCCGTCTCAGATTCAGCGGTATGATGAGAAAGTAGAAGGTGCAGGCGGTGAACATGAAGAGTGCGCAGACAGTCACGATTCTCTTCCCGAAATTCGCGTTGACGGACATGATGTCTTTATCCTTGAAGTATTCCACATTCTTCCAGTCCCACTTGATGTGTTCCATGCATTCGCGAATGTCGTCGCCGTGGAGTATCAGCCAGTGGTACTTGACGAACGCAGCCACGCAGAAGATCATCGGGCCGAACAGTTTGATCTCCTTGTACAGGTTCTCCATGTCGAGAAGCATGTACAGACCGCAGGGTATTATCAGATAAAAGATCAGCAAGTAACAGGCGACGTTTATCAACCGGTACAGATATTTCTCCAGACACGAGGTCTCCGACGAGTTCGGCCACAGACCCATCGGCTTCAAGATCCACCGACTCAGCTGGATACTCCTGTTCACGTTCTCGGATTGTTCGATTGATTCCTGCATCCTTGGTGCTCGATAGTTGGCCCGATACTGATTGCAGATATCTGATGACAGATTTACGGAACGGCGTACGCATGCGTCTCTGATTCTGCGAAGGGAATATTTTTCAAAGGGTCGTACCCTTCTGCGAGGTTTTTTTACTCGATGCATTATTACTGACGGGATAATGACGGTGACATCGGTAAATTGATTGTAACTGCTGCGACGTAGAAGAAGAACGTAGAAGCTCTGCTGACGATAATTTATAGATCGGTTGAGTTGTTTTCTGCTGCTTCGGTGCTACATCGTTGCTGCAGATAAGTTTATTGTGGTACTATTCTCACGGAGATATGGTTTGATAAATAATTTCATTAAGAGTAAGAGTTGATAAAGAGGCTTGATCGTAATCGTACGATTAACGTAATTGTAAATCACTTATGTTATCAAACCTGTTGATAAGTTGATACGGAAGTTTTTGAAGTGCCAAAAATAAATCGTGAAGGAAAAGATCGAATAACTGAAAAACGAGACTGCAACTAAACATAGTATCCATGATTTTCGTTTTATTAAGAAACAAGTGCTGTGATATTTCTAAAGTGGTCTACTGAATTTGTGATATACAATATATTTTACACAACCTCCCGCAAGATGTTCAAGTATGCCATCGACATTTTCATTATCTGCAAATTATATGACAATTTTTAGGTATGTACAGTATATGACATTTTGTATGTACAAGATTGAAAACGATTTTTCTGAACTTACGTCGGTAAAAGTGACTAAAGATATTTCAACAATTTTGCCCGCTGTGAGCTGCATCGGGTAATTCGACATGGCGATGATCAGAACTAAGCAACGAGCTTTCTTTATTGGAAGACGATACCAATCTAGCATGACGGATGTCATACCAACAACGTTATTCTATCCGCAACCAGATTTAAACTTCGTAAAGCACGTTAAAAAATAACAAAGATATATTGAAACAACGCAATGACGTACTTCATCCACAAGTAGTTGGCCAATGTAACATAATATGAACGAGCAAAAGATAAAAGATGTTTGTAAGATGATGCAGATGGTTATAAACATAGGGTCGCTCTTCTGAGGTTCCTAAAAGACGATCTTTTTTATATTGTGATTAGTTGCGGTGTTTGTGTTATCCTACCGTGATGATCCGGTAACCCATTAGACATATGAGACATGTGTTGCCCATGATGTCCACGAAACAGATGTATTGCGTGATTGCTTCGACGTTTTCGAAAAATCTGGAAAGAAATTGTGAAACATTGAATGGATAAAAAAGAGTAGGAGTAAAAGGTATAGCTTAGGAAAGGGTAGAATTTAGGTTCTACCACTGTTACATGACAATGTGGTGGTTTATCACGCATTACATTTGCTCATATTTCATTACTACGCAATGAATTACCACGTGATAAATTTGCATATGTAGAATCGGTTTGTAGTCGAATTATACGCTGATTTGTTACGCGACAAACGCGTTGAATCACCTATGCGCCAAATTACCGCGCATTGAATGACCTACGCATAGAATTATCACGCGCAGAATCACTGCGCATATGTACTACCACGCACAGAATTACTGCGCCTACGAATTACCATGCGTAGAATTACTGCGCATACGAATTACCTACGCGTCGAATTACCACGCGTTGAATTACCTACGCATCAAATTACCACGCGCCGATTTACCATGCATCGAATTATCACGCGTCGAATTACCATGCATCGAATTACGACTTGTCGAATTACCAAGTATCGAATTACCACGCGTTGAATTACCTATACATCGAATTACCACACGTCGAATTATCTATGCATCGAATTACCCACGCATCGAATTACCCACGCATCGAATTACCCACGCATCGAATTACCCACGCGTCGAATCACCACGCATCAAATTATCACGCGTCGAATTACCATGCATCGAATTATCACGCGTCGAATTACCATGCATCGAATTATTACGCGTCGAATTACCATGCATCGAATTATCACCCGTTGAATTACCTACGCATCGAATTACCACGCGTCGAATTACTACGCATCAAATTACCACGAATCGAATTACCACGCGCCTAATTATCTACACATCGAATTACCACCCGTCGAATTACCAAGTATTGAATTACCATGTGTTAAATTACCTACGCATCGAATTACCATGCGTCGAATTATCTGTGCATCGAATTACCACGCGTCGAATTACCAAGTATCGAATTACCACGCGTTGAATTACCTACGCATCGAATTACCACACATCGAAATATATATGCATCGAATTACCACGCGTCGAATTACCAAGTATCGAATTACCACGCGTTGAATTACCTACGCATTGAATTACCACGCGTCGAATTACCCATGCGCCACATTATCCACGCACTGAATTATCTACGCATCAAATTTCCACGCGTTGAATTTCCTACGCATCGAATTACCTACGTGTTGAATTACCACGCGCCGAACTACTGATGCCCCGAATTTCCACGCGTCAAATTACCACGTGCCAAATTACCATGCATGGAATTACCTACACGATAAATTACCCACGCCCCGAATTATACTGCGTCGAGTTACCACACGCCGTATCATCACATTCCGAATTACTGCGCATCGAATCCCTACGTGTCAAGGTGTTCCATGCTAAATCACCACACATCAAATTATCACAAGCCAAATCCCCACGCATCCGCCGATGAGTTGCACTATCGCTATCGTTTACCCACAGAACCACATCGAATCTCAACATACCCCGCGAAACTTCTACTCACCCCTTTATCTTCCTCTCATGTTCCACAATATCCGCAATCTTGTGATTCACCGTTCTCTCGCTCAAATCCGCCCCTTCATCAAGACTCTTCATCTTCTTATTCAGCATCCTCAACAAACTGCACACGTGCAGAACGAACACCGTGAAAATACCATACGATCCGCTAGACGTGGCATAGGTAATAATACCACTGAAGAACTGCAAGGTAAAGACAATCTCATAAGTCGGTGTCTGTTGTTCGTTGATGAAGACGAAGTAGCCCGCACAGGCCATCGGTCTTATGGTGACGTTGTTCGGTAATGTAATGGGTCCCTTCATAAGAGGTATGATAGTACGGTAACATAAACCACCGCCGTACAAAGTGAGCATCACTGTCAATATTAATTTTCGTCCAAGCATCCCTCTGGAATGTAATATCGATCGATCCTCTTCGGTAGCTTCGATCCAGTCCTGTCTGATCACATCCAAACAGTCTCTGATCTGTTTGGATCGAAGCAGGAGGATCGTGTATTTGATGAACTGCATGCAGCAGTTGAGGATTGGGCCGAACACCTTTAATCTGACCTGACCACTTTTCGTTTTGAGGAACATGTAGAGGAAGCCTGGTACTATCACCAGGAAGTAGAGAAAGTAGGCGACGAGGATGGGGATCGTCTTCAGGATCTTCGAGTAGATGGGTGAAGTGTTCGGAAGCGGCCAGGCACCGACCATCTGTAGATTCAGTCGCACAAATCTCATGGTGTAATTCAAATCCTCCTCCACGCTCGTCGGTCCGGATATGCTATTGTCACTTTTCATGGTGGAGGTTGATTTGAGCGTTTGAGCGAAACTGACTCGTGACGAAGGTGGATTCGTTTGGGAACACCATTGCGCCTGCGTTATGTGGTAAATTGACATCGAATAGACGGTAATTTGATATCGAATAGCAATCATCCGAACAATTTTAATATGGAAAGGAGTTTCGATGCGTTTCCAAGTTTGATGGGAGAAATCAACGTTACGAGACATTACGACCATTTGTGCTACACAGTTTACCGGGTGGATAATTTTCTTTGGTTGCTTCTTGTCTGTGCAACAAAACTCTTTATTAAAATATGCTCACAATGACTATATCGCTTACAACATGAAGATGCATTTTAACGTTATATAATACGTTCGGAATATTTGTAGAAAATGATGGAACAATGTGTCTGTAAAAAATGTTAGTGAGTATTGTCAGTATCGTTCGATAGCTCTGTTATTTTTGATCATTCGGAGTTTACTTCGCTTAATAGTTATCTGCAATATTCAGCAGAAGATATACGCAAGGGGAAATTGTGTATCCGTGATTGTAAAGTTAGAGTCATAAACTTCCCTGATGATTCGTTGATGATTTTTCATGCTGTCATCGTTCGCAGAAAGTTCAAATACGCTGCAGAGGTTTTGAAAACCTGCGACATATTCAAATTTATATTAAAATATTTCTTTTACAGAAATTTCGAGAACTCACGTCGCAAAATCCTTGAAGCGAAAGATCAAAGAGTTTCCCTGCGGATAGACTTGATGGACGACTGGTTCGAAGGATCACCATACTTACATCTTTCACTACGTCCATCGGGAGTTCGAACCACGGTAAAAAATATGCTGTTCTTCCCACTCTTGTACTCTTTATTGGGACGGGAGAAATAATGATTTCAATTAAAGTAATTTTTGTGAGGGTTATTTAGTTGATTATGGTGGACTCTTGTTATATTGCCATTTTTATGGGGACTTTCATACGTGGTGGTCTTTTGTGTGTTGCATCGTTAGGTGGTATACAATCATTCGTTATATTTGTACGCTTTGACTGGTGAAATATAGAGTGAGAACATGTTATATTGTCACGCGCTAATTTTCGACGTGTTATATTGCCGCGTGGTGAATTTCTATGCTTCGAATCAGTAGATATCAAATTTCTACGCGTTAAATTTCCGACGCATCGAATTACCACGCATTGAATTACCACTGATCGAATTACCACGGATCGAGTTACCACGCATTGAATTGCCACGCTTCCAATTACCTACGCGTCGAATCACCAAGCGTCGAATTACCTACGCGTCGAATCACCACGCGTCGAATTACCCACGTGTCGAATTACCCACGCGTCGAATTACCACGCGTCGAATTACCCATGCATCGAATTACTACGCGTCGAATTATCTACGCATCGAATTACCATGCGTCGAATTACCCACGCGTCGAATTACCACGCGTCGAATTACCCATGCTTCGAATTACCACGCGTCAAATTACCCACGGATCGAATTACCGCGCGTCGAATTACTCACGGATCGAATTACCACGCGTCGAATTACCCACGGATCGAATTACCATGCGTCGAATTATTACCCACGGATCGAATTACCACGCGTCGAATTACCCATGCATCGACTTACTACGCGTCGAATTATCTATGTATCGAATTACCACGCGTTGAATTACCTACGCATCGAATTACCACGCGTCGAATTTCCCACGCGTCGAATTACCATGCGTCGAATTACCCATGCTTCGAATTACCACGCGTCGAATTATCCATGCATCGAATTACCACGCGTCGAATTACCCATGCATCGAATTACTACGCGTTGAATTACCTACGCATCGAATTACCACGCGACGAATTACCCACGGATCGAATTACCACGCGTCGAATTCCACACGCGTCGGATTACCAGGCGTCGAATTACCCACGCGTCGAATTACCCAAGGATCGAATTACCACGCGTCGAATTACCCACGGATCGATTTACCACGCGTCGAATTACCCACGAATCGAATTACCTACGCGTCGAATTACCTACGCGTCGAATTGCCACGGACCGAATTACCACGCGTCGAATTACCCACGGATCGAATTACCCACGGGTCGAATTACCACGCATTGAATTACCACGCGTCCAATTACCCGTATATCGAATTACCCACAAGTCGAATTACCACGCGTCGAATTATCTACGAACTGAATTACCATGGATTGAATTACCACGCGTCGAATTTGACTACGAATCGAATTACCGCGCGTCGAATTATCCATGTGTTGAATTATCACGCATCGAATTACCCACGCGTCGAATTATCCATGCGTTGTATAATTCACGTGTCTAATTATCCACGCGTTATATGACGATGCATTGTGCCACCTTGAGTGGTACCACGATGCGTTATATCGCCATCAGTAGTATGCACAGACCACATTCCTATATACATTACCATTACATGCTACAGTCATATTCCATCGCAAATATATCATCAATTTTCAATTGCAATTTCAAATCCCTATATATTCACCACATCGGTGGCAATATAACAAAAAGCTCTTATATATAACATAGCGGTTTGCTAAGAGAACATTACCACTTGTTTCAAACGATCCCCAATAAACGATATAATAAACACGTTCGAAAGAATCGACGTCATCAATATAAAATACGTCATCGTGCTAAGTGTCTTGTGATCCTCCCATTCCTAAAAACATCGGCAAAAATCAATTTGTTAATCAACTGATTATTGCCAGACTAAACATTTGATATACCACAAGCACTCCATATTCCAGGAAACATATAATCACGGTATTTCCAAGCATTTCCGATAAAAATACGACGTTGAATGTTTTCTCGATCATCGCAGCGTATCTACAATTAATTTATATCGTTAAGTACGATCGATGAATTTACACATAAAACATCAGGGAACACGCAAGGAACACTTGTTCGAGTGTCATCGAACAAGTCGTTTAGTATTGTAAAATACTTGTATTTTTCATCAGGTTATCTTACTCGGTCGCCTGTACGTGACGTTGGATGATGAACCGAAGACGATCACGCAATTTTCCGTTGGTCTCTTTCATAAATAAGTCGATCTTCCGGTTGATCACTTCGAATAAGCCAGAACAGTGCATGGTAATACCAGCGATTAGTATGTAGATTCCACAATTTGTGGACAAAATGATAATGCTGATGAACATTTGAAAGGCGAACGTCATCTCGTAGAACGGCGAATCCTCAATAACGAAGAACACATAGTTACTCAAATAAGGTAAAGGAATTTGAGTAGTGTTGTCAGACTTCACAACCTTCTCCGATAACAGAGGCAAAATCAGGTGATAAGGCAATGCACCTCCGTACGAAAGTCCCAGATACAATATCGCAAAAAATCGACCGATTTTCGCGCTTTCTCTGATCAGCTTTCGATCCTCCTCGCACTCCACGTCCCTGTACTGCAGCTCCAACTCCGTGAGACAAAAGCTGATCTCATTCTTGTTGATAATTATCGTCCAAAATTTGACGATGCCCAAAAGACTGAACACTTGCGCGGCTATCACCTTCATGTACCTCTTCAGGTCCTCGCAGTCGTGGTACGTGTAAATCGCGTGGGGTATCAGCAGAAAACACATGGAGCAGAAAATGAGCGCTATCTGAACCTGCCTTCTGGTTTTACGCAAAGCGGTGTCGTCTTGGTACAGCGGCCAGATACCAATGGGCGTTAATAATGCTTTGGGGAAACGTATGGTGTATTCGGTGTCCAATTTGTAACTGGCATTTCGATAAACCATAGCTGATATAATGCTTCTATAATGCTTGATATAATGCTTCTGGTGTGGTGAAGATTCTTTGAACAACTGAAGAGAATAGTGAATCATCGAGGAGGACAAGGCTTATAGCGCTTGCGTGGAGACCAATTTTCCATAAGCAATTTGTAGCAATCTTAAAACATTAGAAAGCATTCTAGAATAAATGGAGTTATCGATAGGAAATTGCACAAATCTATGGTAACTCCAGTAGATGATTTTGCATGACTAAATCACGATACAGAGAGTCGTCGAACGTTTATATTATCATTTTTGTGATTTTGTATTATTATGTTCGCAATGAAGTTTCAATGTTTTGCTTCCTGTTTTAGGTAGCAAATGTTGTGTTTTATGTGGCTATTTGTGGTTGATGCCGTGGGGTAGAGTGAAGGGTTTGTAGATGCATTTTTAGTAATGAATGTAATAGATGGGAAAAGTTATGGAAATTTTTTGAAGTGTAAGAAGATGTCTTGTGAATTCTCGGTGGGGAATGTGATGTGTGGAGAAGGGGGTAGAGGATTGTAGTACTGGGCGACATTTTGTGAGGGTGATGTGAGAAACAATGTTTGGTTATTTGGGAACTTTGGTAATATGGAAATATAGGATTTTGTGGATTTGAGAATTTGAGAATTTAAGAGTATAAGAATTTGGGAATTTAGGAATATGGAAATTTGGGAATTTGGACATTTGGAAATATAGAAATATGGGAATGTGGGAATTTGTGGATTTGAGAATTTGAAAATTTCAGAATATAAGAATTTGTGAAATTGAGAAATTGGAAAGTTGGGCAAGTGGGAAATTGGGAAATTGGGAGTTTGAGAAATTGGGAAATTAGTAAGCTGGAATATTGAGAAATTGGAAGTTTGAAAAATTAGGAAATTGGGAGTTTGAGAAATTGGGAAAGTGGGAAATTGGGAAAGTGCGAAAGTGGGAAATTGGAAAATTGGGAAAGTGGAAAAGTGGGAAAGTGGGAAATTGGAAAATTGAGAAACTGGGAAATTGGGAATTTGAGAAGTTGGGAAATTGAGAAATTGAGAAATTGAGAAATTGGGAAAGTGGGAAATTGGGAAAGTGGGAAATTGTAAAATTGTAAAATTGAAAAACTGGGAAATTGGGAAATTTAGAAATTGAGAAGTTGGGAAATTGAGAAATTGGGAGTTTGAGAAGTTGGGAAATTGAGAAATTAGGAAATTGGGAATGTGGGAAATTGGGAAATTGGGAAATTGGGAAATTGGAAAATTGGAAAATTGAGAAATTGGGAAATTGAGAAATTGGGAAATTGAGAAATTGGAAAATTGAGAAATTAGGAAATTAGGAAATTGGGAAATTGGGAAATTAGGAAATTGGGAAATTGGACATTTGGGAATTTGGAAATTTGATAATATGGGAATATAGGAATTTATGGATTTGAGTCGAAAATTTTAAAACTTGAAAATCTAAAAATTAAAAAATCCAGAAATCTGTATTTAGAAGTTCAAAAATGATCAAATACAAAAGCACAAAAAAATGAATAATTAATTATATATAAATTTCGCAAATTTATTGTCCCATCCTCCACCATGTTTGCACAAACATACTTCTACGGGTTTCACACGTCCAGTCGCAAAGAGAGCGACAAAACATTCTAAGAAGAAATACTATACAATTTTTCGTTGATTTCGACCAGTACTACGATATGAATCAGTGTTCCAATAAACGCTATCGGCCTTGATGATATTTTAATGTCAGAAACATGTATCTCCTCTTGAGCGAGCACAATCGGCCGAACACACTAATTCGTCGAAGAATGCAACGTATCGTTACACTCATCGATAAGGCAGCTTCTTTTTAACTAATATTGCGAAGAACGATAACTATCGATTAAAATTGTCAAAGTAATTCGAGTGCTGATTACGGCAAACAGTACCGTAACGGTAGCCGTTGCTTTCGATGAAAGGTTTGTTGTGCGTCTACCATGGAGCCTGATACACGAAGTATGGATTCTCAAAGTGAGTTACTTAAATTCGGACTCTCATCTGAATTACTAAAATATGAGGTTCTAACGTACCTTTGAACCTTGTGGTGATTTCTAGGTACGTTGTGGACCATGCAGAAGGGCACAACCACAATGTTTATTGCCGAAATAGTGGGCACTGGAATACTTATATTTATTGGATGCATGGGGTCCATTGGAACTATGGGAGCAGCGCCTCCGCCGCCATTGCAGTCCTCCATGGCGTTCGGTATGACCGTCAACCTTCTGATTATGGTAAGTATATATAATTTTATTCGTATATCACTTTCACACAAATTTTATCCAAATACTTTTTGAGATTTGCTTTGGGTTAGCCAAGTGACTTTAGATTGTATTTAGAAAAGTAATTTGGGAATTTGGTGATTTGGTAATTTGTGAATTTGTGAATTTGGGAATTTAGTAATTTGGTAATTTGGTAACTTGGGAATTTGGGAATTTAGTAATATGGTAATTTGGTAATTTGGGAATTTAGTAATTTGGTAATTTAGTAATTTGGTAATTTAGGAATTTGGGAATTTAACAATTTCATAATTTGGTAATTTGGTAATTTAGTAATTTGGTAATTTGGTAATTTGGTAATTTAGTAATTTGGTAATTTGGTAATTTGGTAATTTAGTAATTTGGTAATTTGGTAATTTGGTAATTTAGTAATTTGGTAATTTGGTAATTTGGTAATTTAGTAATTTGGTAATTTGGTAATTTGGTAATTTAGTAATTTGGTAATTTGGTAATTTGGTAATTTAGTAATTTGGTAATTTGGTAATTTGGTAATTTAGTAATTTGGTAATTTGGTAATTTGGTAATTTAGTAATTTGGTAATTTGGTAATTTGGTAATTTAGTAATTTGGTAATTTGGTAATTTGGTAATTTAGTAATTTGGTAATTTGGTAATTTGGTAATTTAGTAATTTGGTAATTTGGTAATTTGGTAATTTAGTAATTTGGTAATTTGGTAATTTGGTAATTTGGTAATTTGGTAATTTGGTAATTTGGGAATTTAACAATTTGATAATTTGGTAATTTGGTAATTTCACTTTGTTAATTTACTTGCAGAGTGAAGAAAGGTAGATCTACATTTAAGGGCGTAGACTTATGGCTTTTGGGCACGATATGTTAATAGTTATGGGAAGAATAGTTGTCGAGGGTATTAGTAGCTCAGTTGAGAAGGTATTTGCCAGGAAAATGGAGAATTAAAGTCAAATTCAAATCCTAGTATCTTAATCCTTCGATCCCTAGATATTCAGATGTCCAGACTAGGTACATAGATTTCTAGATCTTTGGATAACAAGATCTCTACATTTCGATTAAATCCTTATACTCACATGTATATCTAGATCTCTATATCTTAGATTTCTCCACTCCAAATAGCTTTGTCTAAAATTTCTATATTCCATCTCTGCATCCCAAATTTTTATAACCAATATCTAGCTCCATCTCTATATCCCAAACTTGTACATCCCAAATTTCAATACTTTAGCTCTCTACAAATCAAACTCCTATATTCCAAATCCCCATATATCCCAGATCTCTATACTTTCAGATTTCCATGTGCCTAGACCTAGACCTTCCTACATACCTGTATACCTAGTCCTCCACATGTCCACATCCCTAACCCCAGAATTCCTACATCAGCAGACCTCAAGATACCCTCATCCATACCTTCATAACCTCAATCAAACTCATATCTCTAACTCCATACAAGTATAAATTTCCATAACCAAAAGATAACCATTTCCATAACCAAACAAATCTCACTATATTTAATCAAAAAATTTCTATTACAGATGTTAGGTCACGTAAGCGGAGCCCACATGAACCCAGCAGTGACGATCGGAGCAGTGATCGTCGGCCTCAAAACCATCCCTACAGCCATTGCTTACGTAATAGCTCAATTCATAGGAGCCACTATAGGATACGGAGTGTTAATGGTACGACAATAATACTGTCTTTAAACATGATCATCCATTTATTATGCAATTCGTGTACAGATGATAACTCCACCAGAGTTGTTCAACGACGGATCATCGAATTCGACTGCGGGTCTTTGTGTGACGGTTGTTCATCCAGGGATTAGCACCGTCACGGCTATACTGATAGAAACCCTTTGCACATCCTTCATACTTTGTGCAGCTTGTGCTACTTGGGATCCGAGGTGTGCGCATACGACGGATTCTACGGCGATTAGGTTCGGTTTCTCTGTTGTGGGAATTTCACTGGCTGCGGTAAGTAATCTGAGTCGTTTTTATTTAGTTTTGTGCAGATATTAAGCTGATCTAAGCTGAGAATTTGAGAATTTGGGAATTTGGGAAATGGGGAAATGGGGAAATGAGGAAATGGGGAAATGGGGAAATTGGGATCTGGGAAATTGGGAATTTGGGAAATTGGGAAATTGGGAATTTGGGAATTAGAGAAATTGGGAATTTGGGAATTTGGGAATTTGGGAAATTGGGTATTTAGGAAATTGGGAATTTGAGAAATTGGGGATTTAGGAAATTGGGAATTTTGGAAATTGGGAAATTCTAAATTTGGGGATTTGGGAAATTGGGAATTTGAGAAATTGGGGATTTAGGAAATTGGGAATTTTGGAAATTGGGAAATTCTAAATTTGGGGATTTGGGAAATTGGGAATTTGAGAAATTGGGAATTTGAGAAATTGGGAATTCGGGAAATTGGGAAATTGGGGATTTGGGAAATTAGGAAATTTGGAAATTTGGAAATTTGGAAATTGAGAATTTGGGAATTTGGGAATTTGGGAATTTGGGAATTTGGAAAATTGGGGAATCGGGAAATTACGAAATTGGGAATTTAGGAATTTGGGAATTTGGGAAATTGGGAATTTGGGAAATTGGGAATTTGGGAATTTGGGAATTTGGGAATTTGGGAATTTGGGAATTTGGGAATTTGGGAATTTGGGAATTTGGGAATTTTGGGAATTTGGGAAATTGGGAAATTGGGTATTTAGGAAATTGGGAATTTGAGAAATTGGGGATTTAGGAAATTGGGAATTCGGGAAATTGGGAAATTGGGAAATTGGGGATTTGGGAAGGGATTGGGGATTTAGGGATTGGGGATTTAGGGATTGGGGATTTAGGGATTGGGGATTTAGGAAATGGGAATTTAGGAAATGGGGATTTAGAAATTGGGGATTTAGGAATTGCGGATTTAGGAATGGGAATTTGGGAATTTGGGAATTTGGGAATTTGGAAAATTGGGGAATTGGGAAATTACGAAATTGGGGATTTGGGAAATTGGGAAAATGGAAAATTGGGAATTTGAGAAATTGGGAAATTTAGAAATTAGGAAATTGGGAATTTGGGAAATTGGGAAATTGGGGATTTGAGAAATTAGGAATTTGGGAAATTGGGAAAATGGAAAATTGGGAATTTGAGAAATTGGGAAATTTAGAAATTGCTAATAAGCTAATCATCAAGCTGATCTAAGCTGATCTAAGCTAAAATTAAACATTCAAATCTATAAATAAAACATGTGTAAAAATATGTAAATTAAACATGTCGTAAATATATTTATTTTCAGAGTCCTTATACCGGTTGCAGCATGAACCCTGCGCGTACCTTCGGCCCTGCATTCTGGAACGGCAACTGGACAAACCAATGGGTGAGTAACATAATTGTAAATCATGTCCCTTCCGAGATTCAATAAATCCCAGCGACGTAATATCATACCATGATTCCTTCCTTTAATCTGTAAATAATGTCGATAAGAGACACGAGGCCTTTTTTGAGTTTCCGTGTCGACCGTTATCGGTTCACTGTTGTTTCTTCATACGTTCAAGAAGAGAGGTGTACAAATATTTGCTTTCTATTACGTAGATTAGATTGCATCGCGACGATAATCACATTTTTTCCATGGCAATTTCTTTAGATTTACTGGTTCGGACCGACTGCAGGCGCCTTCCTCGGAACGTACACCTATCAATTACTTTTTGCGGAAAAAGAGGACGTGGAGCGCAAACGTCTCGAGTTCATAGAATTGAAAGCGATTGCGACACAGGAATGTGACGGCATTCATTCCAAAGAAAATCATACCAAATGCGAGGCACTCGAATTGATTCCGGAAAATGACGACAACGCCGCGTGATTAGCGTTTAAAGTTTAAGGTATGATCATCTTTATCATCCGCCAATAATCGTCTTCCATGATGCTTCGGTTGAAGACGCCACCGCTAGATGGTGCTGTACTCCACAAAATGGCGCGCATTTCATTTCTCTACGTTCATCTCGTGCATTCTACGTCTTATTTTAAAATACCCTTCAATTTATTTAACTTTTATTCTTGCGTTACTTTGTTATTATTTAATTGTAGTAGATACTTTTAGGGCTATTTAATGAACAGACTATAACTCATGCAAATTCTGTATAATTTGTATTATTAATTTGTGAAAATATACATTTTTATCTATTATTCAGTTTATGTCATTGTTTAAAATATTAACTGTTAACTGATAGGATTTTATTAACATTGACACTTATCTTGTTAGTTGACGTTGCTTGAACTTAAAGACCTTGATTTACATTCAAGACAATTACAAATTTTATGTACACAATTTTCAAGATTACAATAGTAAACAAAAGATCGTTCTTCCGTCATATACATAAATATCTTACAATATAGGTATCCATAATGGAGATAATTATATCTGAATACATTGGCAAGTTTATGTAACGAAAATTGTTATGCGAGCAGTGTCGGCGGCAGGTCTGATTCTTTCAATTAACAAATTTATCAGCAGAAAACTGATACCTTTAAACATAGTCACGTAACAACAGAACATTTATACCGTCGTGAGAATGCTGCGCAGATGATATTCCGCAGGAACGGCTTGATTACAGTCTGAATCGATAATAGGGCGGTTCGTAGACGCTTCTAGAATTTTAAGCTCCTCTACACCTGCGTACTACCCTTTGAAACCAAATTGCCTGGGAAATTTCTGGCAATTTGATACGCAGTAAATTGTAACAATACATTCCAGTCTTTGTAAATCGTAAGAGTGTTACTTTAGTGAATGCAAACATTACAATTATTAGACATTATGCAGTTAACATTCTTCTTATTAGAGTTGATAAAGTATGTCTAACTTAGGGTTGATAATGTATGTTTAATAACGAAAATCTATATTAAACTCATTGTTGTATTAAAAAATTGTGGATGGTGGATAATGCTTGATTGTTTAATAAATTAAGATGAACACCCTTGTTTATTATCAAGGAATTATTTAAAATATAATTTCACCGTTAACCATATTAAAAATTTGAAAACAGAATTTGGAGCTGTTTTGTAATTATTGAATTTGTAACATTGTTTTTCCACATAACAAAGTTACGAATCCAGCAAAAGTTTATGCCAGAGTTTCGTTTTATTGCGTAACACACGCAGGACTTAAGCCTATCATTATTCGTACCTAATGGGTTGTCCCACGATACAAATAATTGCTCGAAACTTTGAATGTCGTGAAAAAATATCAAACTTCATCGAACAAATACCAATCTACGTCGCACGAATTGCACGATGTCACGAAACAGATAGACAGAATTGTTAAGTATCGATTCATAATTGATAACAGTGACTCACGATTCGTATCCTAAAATCTTGCCAGTGCTTAAGAGTTATTTAACGAAAATATTTTGTAACAGTTAATCTGATTTGCGACGGTATTTGGCCGTAAGGGATACAGGAACCTTAACCGCAGTGTGTTGACTAAATAAAATGAAATATAAAACAGGAGAACGGTTCTCAAGCTACCTGCAACCGCAGCAGAACATTAGTCGCATTCCAGGCCTTGTATGGATATGTGTTTTCGATAGTTTAATTAAAATAGAAATACCCATTATTCTTAGAGTAGTTGGTAAACAATGTACAATGCAGACAAGGTAGACTGTACATATAGACAAGGTAAATGTAATTTACAATGAAATTTACTGCGACATGAAGCTTCATACAGCTTTTCCACATTCGTAAACAGCGGAGTACGTGATCAAACGCACGTCACATAAAAATGGAAAGCTTTCTGTTTACTATATAATGGAAGCACCCATATACATAGTATAAAACTCGACCGCTGCAACTATTGATTACCTGCTGCATCCGACTGTAGAACGTTCCCGAAAGACGAGAGCGTTCCACGTACATTTTCTAGGAAAATGTCCTAGCCAGGATTTAATTTGTTATTTTCTATGTTTCTCATATTGAACGATAACAGGCACGTGTTCATTCCGATTCAATTTGCCTTTTATCGCGATAACTCTATATTCGATCGTTGAAAAAGGCATTCGAAACATGTCACTGCACGTGACGGTGCTTGATAAGATAACAATTTAGCCAGACAAGGTGGACGAACGCTATAAATGTCAGAACGCGTCCAGTCGTTCGAAGATATGCATCGCTACCTACTGCATTCGAGCTTCTAAATTTATCCCTTGACCTCGCGGTTGCATCAACCGCATCGCTATATTTACAAGCGTAAGCTGCATAATCTGAGCGTATCGGTCCGCCTTGTTCCAGAAACTGCAGAAAGTCCATCGTAAGCGTAATTAGCATGTAACAGACACGCAGTCTGCATCTGCCTGTCAACGAACACGTCCTATCCTGCATCTATCGAAACATCTGCACATCATTGTGCCGGTTTCTAAGAACCTTCCCTTCTTGGCCTCGAGTTGATCCCGTTTCGGTGCTTGTCCATTATGCGCTCGAGTAACGCACAAAGGATACCCGGGTGTCTTGTGACCCTTTTTATTCCCCGTGAATAAAGTTGCATTAATTATAACGTATCTCCCAGATCCCGGCGGGCAGACCGGAAGACGTATGAGGAAAATCGATAGAGCTACAGCTGTCGCACGGATCCTGTGTTGCGCAACAATGTACATGTCGAGAAACTGCGTTTTTGGTTCGTTTCGGAGCGATAAGGCCTATCGCACCGGTCACTTTTCCGTCCGTGGTTAGCGTTAAACCTGGGAATATTGACCCCAAGTTTGCCAGTGCATGACTCACGTGTATTCGCAAACGCGATGTCATCGGTTGCGTCATGTCACGACCGCACCTTCAGATCTTTTAAACTGATGATCCGGTTGTTTTCCTGCTCGAGGTATTCGGCGATGATAGATAGGTCCGAGTAAACTGCGCAGAATTGGGAGCCACGTGTCAGGAAAAACTGCGTCGCAACAACGTCCCTTATGGATTCCAGAGTAACGATTTTTCAGGAACGACGCCATCAAAACTCGCAGTAGTTTGCACCTCTCCCACTCTATCTAGGCTAACAGCAATGCAATCTTATATCTATAAGAAGCGAAATCTATAAGGAACGCTTGATCATAAGATTCTCGTCAAACTGGCTCGCAGCAAGAGAGCTTCTAAAAATGTCTCTCAATACACCGCGGTTGCCATACTACCAAGGTGAAAGATGTTCTAGAAACGTTTCCCAGAGAATATGGCGTAGTTAAGGGCAACCTTCCGTTGTCCTTGATTTCAGAAACTGCGTCTTCCCATGGCCCTTTCCCCTAAGCGATCAAAACAAACATACGAATCTGGCGAGGTTACGCCGTTCGTTTATAACACGCACAAAGCCTAACCGTTTTTACCGTTCGAGCCAGAGAAAGAGGAAGTTACGCTTGTGTGAGTTAGGTTATGGTGGGGTCTGTAGGTGGGAGAACGTGCCAGAAATCTCGTCCTACCTCCATCGATCAATACTTTGTTTTCGGTTAATTTTTCCTTGTAACGATAAAAAATCGAAGAGATACGCATACCAACGTGTAGATCGTGATCCAAGGATCACGATGGTATAGGTAACCGGTTGTAAAATCACGATAAAAGAATGGAAATCGAGCATGGAAGGAAAGTGCGCATTATGTGCCGGGTGCCGGTGCATGTTCTCGAACCTTCGACACTGCGTCGCCGCGTGCCTATATAAGAGGGCCGGCCGGTCTGGCTCGGTGCATTCGTAAATACAGTTTCGTTCAGTTCGGACGCAGCGAACACCCGAAGACCCACCAACCAGTGAACATACCTCTACTTCTTTTACGTGGTCCATGAGGCTGCTGAACAACACGACGTGAAAATGTAGACGAGACGGATTCGGTGCGGAGCGCGACAGTTTACCGTGGGTATCTTTTCAATATTTTTTCAAATTTTTTCGTTTGATTTTTTTTTAAGCTTTCGCTTCAATGGTATTACTTTTGTTTTACATAGTTCATACCGATAAATGCTTACTGGTACATTTTTTCGTGGTTAGCAATGATCAAATTTTTATGATGAAATGCTTACCGATTATGCTTACATTACTGCTGAAACTGCTTATTAATACTTTGGCAGTATCTAGGGATTCCCAAACTATGCGCTTTTCGTAATTCTTTGGGACTCGCTAGCATAGAAGTTGAATTGCAAATATTTTTATAACTTTTAAAATTTAATATGTTTAATATTACAAGTTTAATAACTGTCGGGACAGTTGAGACGCTTGGAACCATTTTGGGAATCTCCATACTTTCTAAACCTAGTTCTTTGCTAATACGTAAGATAGTAAAACAAAAGTAATAACGATGAGGGTGTGCTTGGTATTTATAATAAATTGTGAATTTATAATGTGTTAGGTTGTAAGTAATTCATTTTTATCAACGATTGAAAATGCCTATGTATTTACCATGATATTTTGACAATGTTTATCTGTACATTCTACATATTCTGAATTTTATGATTTTACTTGTATTTTACGATTTTAACCATGATTTATAATCTCAACTATATTTTACAATTTCAACTATATGTTGTAATGACAATTATATTTTATAATGTCAATTATATTTAAAAATTTCAACTATATTTTACAATGTCAACTATATTTTATAAAATCAACTATATTTTAAAATTTCAACTGTATTTTATAAAGTCAATTATATTTAAAAATTTCAACTGTATTTTATAAAGGAAATTATATTTTAAAATTTCAACTATATTTTATAGTCAACTATATTTTAAAATTTCAACTATATTTTACAATGTCAACATTATAAGAACCGTTTAATTATGTAAATATATAGCAAAAAATTCTGATATAAAAAGTGATCAAAAAAATATTTTTAAAAATTCCTTCTTTATTCGGTCGTTTCAATTTTAACCGGTTTACTCGCGGGTTCTCCAGTCTTGACAATTTCGATGACGCGTTCCCCTTCGCTCGGCGCTTGTCCCTATAAGAACAAGAAAATAGCTAATAATTTTCTTAGAAGCTTTTAAACGGTTAATAAAGCAAATCAACGAGGCTTTTTCTTATTTGTGTTTTTATAGTGAACCCTACGGGGTCGGTGCTTGAACAATCCGTACGCAACCATAAACTGGTCTGATTAGAGTTTGAAATTTCCTCACATTTCGAACAATTTGAGAAGAGCACTTCGAGATACATGCAATTAGGTAAGCGGTCATTGTACCGACGTATTTCTCAACTCTCTTTCAATTTTTAACCTTATGTAATAAGACATGTCTGAAACTTAACACTACTTAGAAATATTAGGGCTCAGTGTCGCTACTTGATACTTTAACTTAAATCTCTTTTTACTTCAATAAATTACTTGAACAAATATTTATGGCTTCAACAAATAATTTTAACTTGAAGAAATAATTTTAACTTGAATAATTTTAACTTGAATAAATATTTTTAACTTGATTAAATACTTTTAACTTGAACAAATATTTTTAACTTGAATAAATACTTTTAACTTGAATAAATATTTTTAACTAGAACAAATATTTTTAACTTGACAAATATTTGGCATCCAATAAACAAAGTTTATAAAACAAGAATATTTAAATAGAGTATGTAGAGTAAATGGATCGAACGTAGCGTCACTCCAGCCTTTACACCGCACTCAATAGATGTCGCTGCTAGTTCGAAGAATCTAGTAATTAGATTCTAGTGTATTTTCACGATGTCTGCTCATTGTTGAGAGAATCGGAAAGTACCGCTAAAAGAAAATACAGATGGGGAACACTCGCTAGTCGCTTATCGATTTTAACTTCAAATTTCACGACTTTTAACTTTAAATTCTGTAACAAAATTTCCATCTTGCATCGTATTCTTCTATATTTTCTAAATTAAAGTTAAAGTCGATAACCGCTATAAAAGTGAACGAATGTGCCTCATCCGTGTGCAAGCGGGTTTAATCCAACAAGACGTTCTTTTTATAGTTTAGAGCAGACTCGTAGTTTGAGATCGAGATTAATCGTCGGCACACCATCTTCTCTAAACGCATACTACTACTACGAGAGAGGGGGCACACACGGAACAGTTGGAATTGAAACAAAAAGCATACATTAAAAAAAAAGGGGGAAAAGAGAGAGGATCACAATTTTGCTAAGCGCTCCTAGCTTCGCGAATCCATCCTTAGATTCGCCGGCCAGAGAACCTCCTCCTCTTCGTCTCTTACCTTTTTGGGGGCCGTGATAGTTAGAACACCATCCGAAGAAAGGCTCGAGGTAATATTGATCACGTCGTGCGATGCTGGCAAGACGTATCTCCGTACAAAGTGTCTACTGACAAATCCGTGCTCGTCTTGCCTCTCTTCGTGTTTGGCTTCGACAATAACTTGGTTACCGACCGTCTTCACCGTGATCTCTTCCGGTGAGAATTGTTGAACGTCCAGTATTACCTGCCACAGATCAGAGAGAGCGAAGCGTTAGCAAAACCATACAGAGAAACGGGCAATTAGAGAGAGCATTCGGCATAAAAGCGATCTTCCTCGCGAACCACGACGATGTTGCCTGTCATTGTTACGATGATGTACAGAGGCTATAAAAGGGATCTAAACGATCATTGAATTCAAACTCTCTTGGGCACCATTTTTTTGTAACATTACCATCTTTTGTCGCGATTTTCCTTTGTTAAACCACACATCCAGAGAGAGAAGCCTCGTACGCTTAAATTAAACGCGCCGCTCCAAAGCGGGCGAAGGCGCAACTTCGCCTGCTTCAACCATTGTCATACATGTTTAGCCTGTCTCCTTCGCAATAAAAAACTACCAGATTCTTCTCTTCCGGAAGAAGATCCAAGTCTGGTCGACAAAAATTGTGTAATTATCTTTGCTACCGTACGCACAACTGTTGCTAGCAGCTAACCACTCGACAAGAGAAATCGAATTTAGCTTTTTCTAAATTGCGAGCTGTTTTTGGAGTTAAAAGCCAGGAAAATGTAGGGACATGAAATTTTTCTCTCCCTTTCGAGGTTTCGTTTCTGTTTCATCCATCTTTCATATGTAACCAACCTCGACGATGACAGTGTAGCCCAGCAGCGTTTTTGTAGCGATCTCAGGAAAAGCAACACAGGAAAGATGTAGTTGTGAAATGTGGCGTATCTATTTGCGTGATAGTTTTTTTTCGTTCGTAGAGAAGATCGAGCAAACCGTACAGATAGATGATACAAATATCATACGTTTTATCGCCGAAACGAGCCGAACTTTAGCGCGTTGACTTTTTATTTTCCGCGCTACACGCGTGCTTTTCCTCGTTTGATGGATTGGTTCATCTCGCAGTGGTTAGCGGCTTGACATTAACGAACGAAGAGAGAAAACAACATTCGAAGAGAGTAGGAAGGAGCGAGCCGTGGTTTTTCGGGTGATCCTTCGTGATCCTGAAAACCCGGTAAGCGACGTCCCTATTTCAACGGCTTAAGAACACGACGAAAAAAAGAAAAACGTATAGTGAGAATACCATTGTGAAAGCCATCTTTTAATCCTTTATGTACCTCGAGCAGAGTTGTTAGACCAAAAGTCGAGGATTTTTTGAAAAAGTGCTGCTGCATTAAACAGAGAAACGACATACGCGCGCCTGCATTTTTGTATATATAGAAATTTCGTATTGAATCGTTTTCTATATACGGTCTTATCGTTAATGATTCGAGAAGCATTTATTTTTATATAGAGATTATTTATATATAGCGAACAAAGAGAGATCCGAAAGTTTCAAGGAAACTCAGTTTTTTAGTCCGAGAGCGGCGCCCCCGTTTCGGGGGGGTGCTTCGACACACACCTCACACTTTCTCGGTTCTTTCTGCTAAAAAACAAAAAAGAAGACTGATTCCCGCGTGACACGATCCATTTTTCGGATTTTAAAAAAGGAAATAAAACCACGTCCTCTTGATATATATTATTATATTTGGTATTGTTCGTATTAAAAAAAAAAGAGTATAAGAGAGAGAGATTCTTTCGGAGAAAAAAAGGGTGTGGGCTCTTTGAGTCGTCGACAAAAAAAAAATGGCGAAAGCCGATTAAACTGTGATTTCAAAGCAAGGAATATCCTGGCGTTAAAAAAGCGTGTCTGACAGAAAACAAAAATACCGCGTTGCAAGATCGGAGTGTAATTTCTTTTCTACGATTTTTCGAACATTTTCTAGCTACTCGAGTCATTTCGGGAAACAAAGAAAAATAAAACAGAGTAGTTTTCGAGACCTGACTTTCATCCCACCGACCCTTCCCCCTCTTCACCGAGGGAGGGGGTTCCCGTTCGAAAATACAGCCCCGAAACGAGTTTCCAATTTCTTTTCTAAACCACTACAAACGTACTGTAAGGCGAAAGGGAGGAGAGTAGCTCGGTAACTATGCAGCGAGAAAAAAAGAAAATGCCAAGAAACAGACGAAGCAGTAGTAGCAGCAGTAGCAGTAGCAGTAGTGGCAGAAACAGAGAAATCGGTTTTCGGGCCTTCTGGTGTTCCAGTTTTATCCCCTGAAAATTACATTGTCCTATTTTTTCTTTTCTTTTTTATCATTCCGTTCATTCGGTTGCGATAATTCTTTAATGATCGAACGATTTCGTTACAATAACCCTCTTTTCGAACGTTTGCGTTGATATAAAATAGCAGCTTAGTTTAGCAGGTTTAGTTACATTCTTTTTTATATCTTCTCTTTTCAGTTTCATAGGATTCTCTTAAACTTTGCGTAAACTATTTCTCCTTTTACGAATGCGAACCTTATACATTCCCATTTATCCTTTCTTGTATCCATCGATCGGGTTTTTTAGGTCTTGAAAATATCGTCGAACTTTCTGATTCGGTTTCACGTTTTCTTTATTCTAGACACGCGTTGATAAACGTAGACTCTATATGGTCACACACGATCGAAAAAAGGTTCACTTTAGATTCTATCTCAGCCTAAGTTAGTCGACCGTGTTAGCCCGCGAAATAGTTTCAAACATTTCGCTCACTGTATCAAGAAACTCCAAAAAAGAAACGTTGAAAAATATATATGGGTCAGTAAATGTTTAGCCAGTTCTCGATTGTTTGAAAAAAAAAACGCATCAGCTTGCGATATATAAACTCCAGTCGAATCACGAGTTACTAAGTTACACGATACATAAATAAAACCCCGTATATACTTGGTGTAAAGTTCAATCTAGAAAGCAAGAAGCGTGTACACAGAGCGTTAGTTTAGGATTCTAGAGGCGTTTTATCCAGTTCTCAAATCTTCCAATATCTGACACGTAGTCGAGAAGGGAGGCTTTTCCTAAAACTTAAGTCTCAAGGAGAAAGTGTGTGTATAGTGCCTTTAATTAATTTTCGAAGTTCGCTTCTTTCGCGATTATTTTCTTTGCATTTTATTAAAACTTACTTCATCGAAATTTGTCCCTTTTTTACGACTTTTTAACCCTCGCCAACTTTTCACCCCCTCGCAGCAACTTATCCTTTGGCTATAAATCAGCAATAATTAAATAGTTCTGAATTCTTGACCGGGTGCACATTTCTCGTATCAAAAAGTCGTTTTTCTACGTACGGTAAACTACATAACAACGGCTATCCCATGACTTTCCGATTCGCGTCCGAAAGTTATGGGATAGTCGTTGTGAACGTTTCATGGTGCTAACTTCACCAGCAATACACACGTGTTTGACAAAATTTCTATAAACACACGTGTGCTCGAGTTGCTCGAAGTCGTGGTTTACGCGAGTTAGCTTAAAATCGCGCAAGAAGCTTCCTTCAGGTTTAGAGATCTTAGTGATCGATTTCTTTTCGAAGATAAGTGAGAAGTAATAATAAAGAGCTGTGTATAGTTAGCGAGAGTACCTGTCCATTGTCACATTTCGGCCTTTGTTTCTCCTTTTTTACAGACCCTAAATTCTCAGGTTTCGTTCTCCTCTTCTGTGGGATTCCACCTCGGTGGGATCCTGCAGAAGACGAGGCCCTTGCAGCAGTACCCTTTCAACCTAATTAACGTTTTAAGCTTTGAACGCTTGCGAAAGGTTCATAGAGAGACCATAGGCTCCACTAATTGTCGAGACGCTAATCTTTTGATGAAAATATTGCAACGCAGTCATACGAGTCCACAAACATACTAAAAATTCGTGAGCTAAGATCGTGCCATAAATTGTCCTCTTCACCGATAGACAACTTCCAGAAGTCACATCGTTAAACATCCGATTAAAGCATGTTTAGCTAACTTGCTCGAATAAAAAGAGTATAATAAATTTTTGCAAGCATCGATTTCGAACACAGAGAACGCGTGCCACCTAAAGTTCTAATTCCACGCGATAAGAATTCAAGCACCGTGGCAATTCAGATTTCACTGATTATATAAGTCGAAAATACACAGATCGATCGATTATTATTGAGGATTTTCAAGTTCGGTAATCAGAGTAAATACATCAGCCGTAGTCTTCCAATCGATCATTCTTAAGGCCCGTATCCATAGTTACCACTCGAAACAAAAGGTAATCGCAATCAGATCTATTGTCTCCATTCGGACAATAGGTGTGATTCGTACCGTCGAGTGATAACTATGGATATGGCTCGTGGTTCTCTGATCAAAGCAATACACAATTACCGATCTTTGAAACCGACCATCCATAATTGCAATAATAATCTTGTTCTCCACTCAGCACAACGAAATGTGATCCAATCACTCCGACATTTTAATCCATTCTCAACGTTGTAAAACGCAAGGTCGGTAGTCACGAAATAAAGTCACGAAACAGGTTATTCATGAGCTCACCAGCACAATTTTGCAACATCAAGAATCACAGGTGTATTGCTCTTCACCCTGTAATACCACACACGAAAAATCGTTTTACCTGGAAGTTGTCCTTGCTGTCGATCTGAATCGTGCTCGATCCGCTCGAGTGATGGCGCGTCACGTTCCTCCATGGACGGTAGTACCTATCGCGGAAAATCGAGCGTAGGGGTCTGTCGAGGCTCAGATCGGAGAACCTTGATATCAGATCGTCTCGATCGAGTCCTCTGCCGAAATGTTGGTCCATCAACCTGGACACCGGTCGATCGAAATCGTCCCACCAGTCGCGAAACACCAGAGGTACCACGGACATCTGCGTGGATAAACATGAGATAAATTGTCGGTCAAGTTCTTGCTTTTCAGGACGCAGTTCTTAGAGAAGGGTGTAAAACGCGTGACACGTTGGATTAGAGATAACGTCTTAGTATAAGCGACAACGGATTACGGAAGAAGCATTTTCAGGACCAAGTTTATTGAGGTTTTTGCGCGTTAACGTGTGTTACTCGCCCGTCTGTCGTTTTAACTGTGGATAAGGGACACGATCCTGCAGATCGGTCTCGGGTGATTATTATAATTGTATCCTGAAAATATAGACGGAGTAGGAGGAGTACAAGGATTTCACGATCCGCGAGAGCAATATTTAATCGCTGAGACATCGCGCGAACGAGTTCTTGCTACGATTTATATAGCCAGTGTAGCGTAGAGAAAAAACGGAATACTTTGTTGGAAAATACGCGTTTCCTCGAGGGCAGTCAACGATAATCTCTTATACGCACAACAGACGATCGAATAAAGCTCGTAGCGATTTGTTTTCGAGTCCGATCTTTACTTTGAACATTCAACGTGTACGTATATTGAAATTCCTTTTTTCGAGCGAAACCCGGCATTGAAAACGACGAACTTCGTAACTAGATTCGTTTAGAACGATCGAGGGAAAATTTGTCTATCACGGAAAGAGAATATTGTCGATCACGAAATAAAAAGAAATACAACAAAAAAAATAATGTGGACGTGTTTTTTGCAACGACAGAAAGGAGGGGGGCTGTTTAACGAAAGGGAGGTAAAAACGTGTTATGAATTTTCCATCGAATGCGCATAATTGTAGGGCTATGTAGGTTACGTGTTTTAGGAGTTTAGGTATTAGGCAGCAAAGTTTTACGATAAAAACCTAACCTAACCTAACCACACCCTGATCAGGAAGCACGGGGTGGCAGAGGGTACATCTTTTCTGTTCACACCGTGCGTGATTTTGTGCGTCGCGAACGCGCGTTTTAATTGAGAACGGATCACAAGATCCACCATTTAGCGACAGAAGCGTAACTCGACATATAACAACTCGACATATAACAGTCGACATATAACAACTCGAAAAATGAGAAAAAAGGGGTGTGAAGATCACGTTGGTAGAGAGAAAAGTTTATCACAAACCAGGCTAGGGAAAAAATAAAAAAAAAAATTTCATTATGCTTTTCGACGAGTACTTTTAATAAATAAGTTAGTTCGCTAAGTTTTCGGCACTGACGTGCTTTACGCTACTAAACACTCGAATAACGAGACGAACTTTACATATGTATCCTCGATATACTTAACTCGCAAGCGAAAACTTTCCTTTGTTAGTTGCTTAGTAAGGGGAAAAAGCGTGTATGGTTAATATATGCGCGTGATACGATAGAGAGAAAGCTTATCATTAATTGAACGCGCGTGTTTGGTCTTTCTCGAAGATTTTCAGCACCGCGTGCGCCATTTTCCACCTATTTTCGCGCGCTTCGTTAACGAACACGAGATTTCGATACTTTCTAACTATCGAACGACGATCAATACCCGGCGGGGAAAGACTCCACAACCGCGTGATTATCATGTAAGTTTAAGGTGTTTCGAACACTTGCGATTGCGACTATGGACACTTTTCGGAACGGGATCTAATCAAACTTGCGTAGTAGTAAATATGTAACTAGTCCTTAAGGTTTAACAGCTCTTTAGGATTTCCACTAACGTTAGGTTACTGTTTACTAATCCGCGTCGCACTACACGCGTTACTTTGTTTTCGGTCCGAAAGTAAGAACACCGACATCACACGAGAAAGAGCACACACGATCACGACAAAAAATTACGTAGAACATTGAGGTACTACCGTGCTTGTGGAAACGGACTTGATGCGAAACTCGAGCAAACACTTCCGAAAAACGGTTCAGAGGAATATTCACTTTCTGATTCAGCTGCAAAGACGCTAGAAGCTTAAATAGTTCTTCGAGGTGCGTCTTTGACGCCCACGCGATCCACCACCGAGATACACCCACGACGTGGTCCACGTGACGTTTCCACTGACTCTTGTCTAAAAATATTTCACCCCGATGCGTTTGACGGAAATCGCGAAAAGGGGGGACGTGATTCAATTTCGATTTTGGCACAATTCGTGTCGTATGTGGAACATATTTTTCGCCTGGACTCATCGCGTTGCAATGCTTCAGATCCCGGCTTCAAGGACCCCGTCTCTCGCTTCGAGAGATCCTGAGAAAGCAACTCGACAATTTGATCAGTGTCCTGACTAAAGTATACCTCGTTACTGCTGCAATATCAATTTTAACTATTCGTTAGAAGAGTGACAGCCTGTATTAATTGTAACGTACGTATTAGGGTGCCCACACCTTTTGATAATAATTGCACACACTTGAATCTTCTAAGCTTATTTGAATATTAATTAATATTATTAATTTGAAACGGAGTAGTATTTCTGGTGGACTTATTTTTCTTTAGCTTCTGAGCTGTTTTATCTTCTCGATGTACGCTTGCAAGTTTTGCAAACGCAAATCTTTCAGCATGTTATTCACCCTCGATATACTAAATATAATGTCTTCGTAAGGAATGTATATTAATAACGAACAATAACAACGTACCTTGCTTTTAAAGCACGCATCGTTCGATTTTCCAACGAGATCGAGGTGTGTGTCCGCACTTCTTAAAACGAAGGTAGCCTTGCCCAAGAGTTGCGTATTGATATATATATATTATATGTATGTATATACATATACATTACATACGAGATATACATATTTATGTCTAGGGTGTGGGTTTAAATTAAGAAACATTTAAACGTTAATTTTCTTTAATGAACGTAAAAAAAATATAAAAATCCGACGAGTGTAAACTCGTCGACCAAAAAAAAAAAATGAACAAAATACGAACAATAATTCGATTATACATTAGAGTATGTGTTTTAAATATCATCGAGTATGGACTATTTATCGATACTCTATTATATAATTAGCGTGTACGATACTCGCTAGGATTATGTTATTCGACTCCTTCCTACTTAGCAAACAAGTGCGAAATACTTCAAAAATTATTCTGTAAGTTTGACATTTTCTTTTTTGATAAATATTTGCAAAATGAACAATTACGAGAACATCTGTGAATCACAACGACACGATAGCCCAAGAAGAAAAGAAAGAGCGCTTGTTTAGCGGGTGAATAGAACTTCAGGATATTTATGTAATTGTTTAATTTTTAAGTTGATTTAAAAGGATCAAAACTACACTTGGAAGATATAATAAAACCTACTGTGCGGCATTATAGGCGATAAATATATAAACTAGTAGGCTTAACGATTAAATGATTTAGGTAATCGACCAAATATTATTATGATAATCGATACATATATATATGTTGTATATGATTCAAACTCTATAATATTCGTCGTATTTTCGTGTTTTTAAATGTGGTCAGTCATCGCTGTGTGTAAACACGTCAGATTGTGACACGACTAAATCCAGAATTTTGAATCAAGCGCGATAAAATCCTTTGGCTCGTTTATAATTATTGTTAGGCTTGATACGAGATAACTACGTGTCCCTTTTTAGTACTGGATAAAACGACTACGATTATTCGTGTGTTAAGAAAGAGGGAGAGAGAGAAAAGAGAGAGAGAGAAAACAAATATAATCTTGGGAATTCAACTGCGCGTGTGGTATCCATACACAAATGTTACTTCAAATAATAGCGTGATTTGTAATACTTTTTTCTGTGACTTAGTAACAATCATCAACAAATTGTATCTAAATTCTCTTGTAAACTATTCGTGGTATAATGGCTTTCACCGATTGCGCTATTTTATTCTTTGCTGCTTAAATTGTTCTACGAAAAATGATCTGTAAATTGATACCGAAAGACGCGTGTATTTAATATATACATTATTATTATTATTATAATCGACGTTTTATGGCAACAATTTTCCTTCGCGTTATAAACATCGTAAAATTACTAATTGAACACACTCTATTGTAAACACACATACTCGAAATTATATCATACGTTCAAAATTCTCTTGCTGATCTAACGAAAACTTGTTCTCATACTTGTGTAACGCAGTCCGCAATTGCCTAGCGATATAGGTCCATAAACAAACTATTATTGGCTGAGAGAAACAATAAAGTGAAACCCGACGTAAATACAGTGCTTTTTTAATAAACCTTCCTGGAAATTATAAAACTAAATCAGGTAAAATTAAAAACGGTGAGTCTTTATTTCAAAATGGCGGATAACTGAAGATCTATAGATATTTCAAAGGCGAAACGTGAGTAAAATATTTATTACAATCATCGTAGGTTTTTATGATCAACAATGGATGCATTTATTCTCAGAGTCAAGAAAAGAAAAATGAGTAAACAGCTAAATATTTGTGTAACAGGATGAGTCCGTGGTGTGTCAGCAGCTTAAAATAGATGATCGACTTACGTGAAAAGTGGGTAGGAATCAAGAACAAGAAACTGAATGAATTACGTGTATATTCTAAAAAAAATTTACAATTTTATGACATGTCACTTCTATTTACTTAAGAGTTACGAATATGTTACAAATTAGATTGTACAGAGCTCGCTTCTGAACTTTGTTTGGGACGGACGTGATATCTTGATTTTTCTCCATGGGTCACGCGAATCGATGCACGAAAAACTCGGGAAGCTGTTGCAACTTTTCGATGTCCTGCAAAGTCGATATTCCTTGTTCCTATTAAAAAATAGAATATTTTATTAATTGTTACTCAGATTTTAATTACAAAAATAGAGGTACTTTGTTTTATGACGTTAATGAATGTAATTTTTGAAACGTATCATTTTTTATTAATATAATAGTTTATCTAAATTCTCTTTTATAGTAGATATTCTTGTTTCTGTCAAAAATAAAACACTTCATAAATTGTTATACAGATTACTAACTATTACAAAAATAAAGATACTTCATATGATGTGACGTTAAGGAATGTAATTTTTGAAAGGTTTCATTCTTGATTATTTTAATATAGATTGTTTTAATAAATTCTCATTTATAGACATTATTCTTGTTCCTGTTAAGAATAGAAAACTTTACAAATTGTTACTCAGATTACTAACTATTACAAAAATAAAGATACTTCATATGATGTGACGTTAAGGAATGTAATTTTTGAAACGTATCATTTTTCATTATTTTGATATGGATTGTTTTAATAGATTCTCTTTTATACTTAATATTTCTTATTCTTCTCAAGAATTGTTATTCAGATTTTCAACTATTACAAAAATAGGGGTTTTTCATTTGATGTGACGTTAATGAATGTCATTTTTGAAACGTATCATTCTTGTTACTTTAATAGAGACTGTTTTAATAAATTCTTTTTTGTAGTCAATATTCTTGTTGCTGTTAAAAGTAGAAAACTTTACAAACTGTTACTCAGATTTTCAATTATTATAAAAATAAATATACTTGATATGATGTGATGTTAAGGAATGTAATTTTTGAAACGTATCACTTTTTAATATTTTAATATAAATTATTTTAATAAATTCTCTTTTATACTCAATATTTCTCGTTCCTGTAAAAAATTGTTACTCAGATAATCAACTACTACAAAAATAAAGATACTTCATTTGATGTGATGTTAAGGAATGTAATATTTGAAGCGTATCACTTTTTACTATTCTAATATAGCTTGTTTTAATAAATTCTCTTTTATTCTATATATTTCTTGTTCCTATAAAAAATTGTTACTCAGATAATCAACTACTGCAAAAATAAAGATACTTCATATAATGTGATGTTAAAGAATGTAAGTTTTGAAGCGTATCATTTCTCATTATTTTAACATAAACATTTTAATAAATTCTCTTTGATAAAAGCATAACCGTATTTTACTGAATCTACAAGAATTGAAAGACTAAATTTTGAGAAATAGCAAAGCATATGTGATTTTAGTCAGAATATAATGAAATTGTTGAAAAAGATACTTACACTATATTCTTTCCATTTCTCGTAATTGTGTCTCATGTACCCCACTAGTTCTGGCATGTCGATAAATGCTGAAAAATAAAAGGTATTTTGTAAATGATCTGTGAAGGAATAACAAAGTCGTAAAAACGTGTACTGACCATCCCATGTTTCGATCATGTCGTTGATGATATAATCGACAAAACCGATCTGCGATTTTGGTATCGAGCATGTTTGTCTGTCGAACATAGGCATCAATACTGGCAGCTTCAATCTCTTTTCTTCGTCAGTCTGCAAAAGAGGGTGAAATGAAACTTCTGAAATTATGCTGTTTAAGAAATAAATAGTACTTATAACTAATAGTAATTATACCATTTAAAAATTGTACTATTTAGACTTCATATATGTTTAAAGTTTAAAGGTATAAGTAGTAGAAATCTATATCAGGTGCTGTAAACACTTTGAATTGATATAAGATACTGTAAACATTAATTGATATAAGATACTGTAAACATTAATTGATATAAGTTACCATAAAAATTAAAAAAATGAGAATATCTCTATGTGCTATAAACATTAAAAGTCAACGTAAGGTTTTATAAACAAGAAAAATTGAAAAAGCTTAATATTCAACATTTATCTGTTATTCAATAATTATCTTGATAGTAAAATTTTAAAAACCTCAGAACAAAATTAATTGTTCACAATCTAATATAAGATATTTAAAATTAGAGAAGATATATTTAAAATTAAAAATATTTTCATAGTTAGGAACAGAATAGGAGAAAGCTTTTTGGGATATGTCCAAGAATTCCAATTATTTGAGAATCATAAATAGAAACTGTACCTGACTAAAATACTCTTCGGCGATTCTTCTGGCCCATTCTATGCAATATTTTAGTGGTCGCGTTGGATTCGACACATCCGCACATTTGATCATCATTCTCTTCACCAGCACCACATTTTCTGGCTGTAGTACCACTGACATGTCCAGATTACCTGAGTAAGCCTACAAATTTCAACAATTCATCATGACTCTACAAACTGTCAACAATCCATCGTAAGTCTATTAATTTCAAAAATCTATTATATGTCTATAAATTTAAAAAACTCATTATAATCCTGCAAACTTCAAGAATCAAATAGAAGCCTACAAATTTCAAAAATTCATCGTATGTTTATAAATTTCAAAAATTCATTGTAATCCTGCAAACTTCAAAAATCAAATGTAAGCCAATAAGTTTCAAAAATTCATTGTAAGTCTACAAATTTCAAAAATTCATTGTAATCCTGCAAACTTCAAGAATCAAATAGAAGCCTATAAATTTCAAAGTTCATCGTAAGTCTACAAATTTCAAAAATTCATTCTAATTCTGCAGTCTTCAAAAATCAAATACAAGCCTACAAATTTCAAAAGTCTATCGTATGTCTACATACTTCATAAATTCACTGTAGTCCTACAAATTTAAAAAATCAAATATAAGCTTACAATTTCAACGATTCATCATAAGTCTACAAACTTGAAGAATTCATTATGATCCTACAAACTTCTAAAATCAAGTATAAGTTTAAAAATTTCAACAAACCATCGTAAGTCTACAAATTTTAAGAATTCATTATAATCCTGCAAACTTCTATAATCAAATATTTTACGTATTTTAACAACCCATCGTAAGTCTACAAATTTCAAGAATTCATTATAATCCTGCAAACTTCTATAATCAAATATAAGTTTACAAATTTCAACAACCCATCGTAAGTCTACAAATTTCAAGAATTCATTGTGAACATCTAAAACCACAAAACATTTTCATAATTAAATAGACAACCATTTTCTAATACGTTGCCTACAATTGACTTGAAATATACATCAGTGATTTTAAATGTACATCAGTGACCTGAAATGTACATCATTGACCTGAAATGTACATCATTGACCTGAAATGTACATCGATGACTTGAAATGTACATCAGTGAGCTGAAATGTATAACAGTGACCCAAAATGTACACCAATGACCCAAAATGTATATCAATGACCTGAATTGTGTATCAGTGACCCAAAATATACGTACGTCTGTGACCTGAAATTAACAAGTATTAATAACTACTTAATATCCAAAAAAAAAACTAGCGGTTAATAATAAATTGACTATTCTTACTTCCATCTGATTATCCGTAACTCTGGAGCTGCAGACGTTCATGAACCTCGCCAGATGTTCAAAGTGTTTGGTCATTTCAGTGGCTAGAATCATATCGATGACTATCTGCCTGACTAGCTTGTATGTGTCTCGTTCCAAGTTCTGCAACCATAGAAATTTTTAGAGACTTGAGGCTTTTACAGCCTGGCGTCAGACAGGTATTGCTGTTAGGGTTTTCGGGTATAAACTGCGTTATATCAGTGTATTTCCTGGTGAAGCTACAATGCTGGCGAAACTTAGGGAAATCGCTTCCTTTAGGACGCGGCTTACACCCGAAAGCCTCAATAGTAATACCATAGAAATTTTGTTCAATGTATCATAAAAAAGAGAAAATGTGAAAGGACCATGATTATGTATTTTCATTGTTAAAGCGTGTATTTTCATTGGGGGCTTACTTTGAAAATGTTCGCACTGTCTTCTTCTAAGGATAGCTTGAACGTTAACGCTGCATGGTGTGACTCAAGCACGGACAAATCATTGTAGAGGATCGCTAGCTTGCTGTCGGCGTTGCAGAGAAATTGGCTGAAATCAGTTTAAATATTAACTGTGCATTAAAAATATTTTCTTGTTATATGTTGAGCTTGGGTTGGTTAAATTTGTGCGCTTTAGAAATGTAACAGTTTGGAAGATTTGGGAGAGTTTGTGGATGTGTGGAGGATTTAGGGAATAGGAGATTAGGATGTTGAAGTTAGGATAATTGGAGATTTGAGGATATGGGGGTTTCAGAATTTGGGAACATATGAATTTTGGTGATTCTAGAGTTTTGGATTAGAGTTTGGGAATTTGTAGATTTAGGAATTTGAGGATTTGGGGATTCGAGGATTTGGGGATTCGAGGATTTGGGGATTCGAGGATTTGGGGATTCGAGGATTTGGAGATTCGAGGATTTGGAGTTTTGAGGAATTGGGGGTTTGAGGGTTTGGGGATTTGGGGATTTAAGGAATTGGGGATTTGGGAAATAGGAAATTAGTGGATTAGGGAATTTAGAATATTGGGGGTTCAGGAAATTAGGGATTTAAATAATCAGAAAATTAGGATTTGGAACTGTAGAAAATTGAAAACGTAGGGAACTCGAAAAGTAAGGAACTGGAACTGTTGGGAATTAGAATTGTAGGTAATAGGAATTGTAGGAAATTGGAATTGTGGTTGGAATTGTGGGGAATTGGAATTGTGAGGAATTGGAATCGTAGGGAATTAGAATTGTGGGGAATTGGAATTGTGGGGAATTGGAATTGTGAGGAATTGGAATTGTGGGGAATTGGAATTGTGAGGAATTGTAATTGTGAGGAACGGGAATTGTAGGGAATTGGGATTATAGGAAATTAGAATATCAGAAATTGGAATTATAGAAAATTGAAAACCTAGAGAATTGTGGAATCATGGAAAATTGTAATTGTAGGGAATTGGAACTGTAGGAAATTGAAAACGTAGGGAACTCGAAAAGTAAGGAACTGGAACTGTTGGGAATTAGAATTGTAGGAAATAGGAATTGTAGGAAATTGGAATTGTGGGGAATTGGAATTGTGAGGAATTGGAATTGTGAGGAATTGGAATCGTAGGGAATTAGAATTGTGGGGAATTGGAATTGTGGGAAATTGGAATTGTGAGAAATTGGAATTGTAGGGAATAGGAATTGTAGGAAATTAGAATTGTGAGGAATTGAAATTGTGAGGAATTGGAATTGTAAGGAATAGGAATTGTAGGAAATTGGAATTGTGGGGAATTGGAATTGTGAGGAATTGGAATCGTAGGGAATTAGAATTGTGGGGAATTGGAATTGTGGGAAATTGGAATTGTGAGAAATTGGAATTGTAGGGAATAGGAATTGTAGGAAATTGGAATTGTGGGGAATTGGAATTGTGAGGAATTGGAATTGTAAGGAATAGGAATTATAGGAAATTGGAATTGTGAGGAATTGGGATTATAGGAAATCAGAATATCAGAAATTGGAATTATAGAAAATTGGAAACCTAGAGAATCGTGGAATCATGGGAAATTGTAATTGTAGGGAACTGGAACTGTAAGAACTCGAAATTGCAGAAAATTTAAAACATACTGAATCAAAAACATAGACAATTTCAGAATTATACAATCCATAAATCTATAAATATACCCATATATAAATTTATAAAATCCATAAAATTTAAACAATTTAGCAATGTAGAAATTCGCAAAACCAAAAAATTATAAATTCGTACACCCAGAAACTTCTAACCATAAGTATTCACCATGATTTTATTCGTTGTATATTAGTATATCAATTACCTCGATCTACCGGGATGATCAAGATCATGCGCAGCAGAAGCAATCAAAGCCGCAACTTCGTCCAAGGGTTCCAAAATCTGTTTCAACGTTTCGGACTGCATAAACCTAGCAGTGGCTTGTAGTACATCAGCAGCATGAGTCGAATTGTGATAACAATTAGTAGATCGATAGTTCATTTCGATTACGGTTAGCCAATTTTGCACGACCTTCTCATCGCAGCCTAATCTTGCTGGTACCCGGTACAGATTCATGATTGTCATCCCAAGGAACAATAGTGGCCTGTGGTCAAATGGAAACAAATAGAAAATATGTTTATTTATAAAAAAAGACAAATGTGGTAGAAGATGGTACATAATATGTATAATATAATTTATATTGTGGAAGAGATAGTGTATATTTAGTTTCAACATGTGGACATCAGTGTGTTAATTTTAAGTGACATAGCAATTAATTTCAGGGTGATATAGCAATTGATTTCAAGTGATTTAGCAATTCAATTTCAAGTGATATAGCAGTTAATTTCAAATGATATAGCAATTCCATTTCAAGTGATATAGCTATTAATTTTAAGTGACATAACAATGAAGAAGTTCAAGCTTCCCATTCTAACAATAAGATCAAAGTGAAAAACTGTTTTGAAGTTACCTCTTCTCCGTGAGAACTTCAAGTTACATAGCAATTAATTTCAAATGATATAGCAATTCCATTTCAAGTGATTTAGCAATTCAATTTCAAGTGATATAGCTATTAATTTTAAGTGACATAACAACGGAAAAGTTCAAGCTTCCCATTCTAACAATAAGATCAAAGTGAAAAACTGTTTTGAAGTTACCTCTTTTCCGTGAGAACTTCAAGTTACATAGCAATTCATTTAAAATGATATAGCAATTAATTTCAAGTGATATAGCAATTAATTTTAAGTGACATAACAACGGAGAAGTTCATACTTCCAATTCTAATAATAAGATCAAAGTGAAAAACTGTTTTGAAGTTACCTCTTTTCCGTGAGAACTTCAAGTTATATAGCAATTCATTTCAAGTGATATAGCAATTCAATTTCAGGTGATATAGCAATTAATTTTAAGTGACATAACAACAGAGAAGTTCAAGCTTCCCATTTTAACAATAAGATCAAAGTGAAAAACTGTTTTGAAGTTACCTCTTCTCCGTGAGAACTTTGAGTTATATAGCAATTCATTTAAAATGATATAGCAATTAATTTTAAGTGATATAACAAGTGAGAAGTTCAAGCTTCCAATTTTAAGATTGTATAAAGTAAAAAACTGTTTAGAAGTTACCTTTTTTCCGTGAGAACTTCAAGTTTGAATACATCGAAATTCCAATCTAAACACTTGTCCAATATTTCCGCGATTTCCTGAGGCCCCCTGAATCCTTTGATCTGCATTCGAGAGGAACCTGAGGTCAGAGCGACAGCTTTGTACGTAGACAACCGTGCTGACTCCACCGACGATCTTCTTGATTCCCATGGTTTTCGGGGCGACTTCATTTGAAAACATTTATCGACATAATTTTTGATGAAGATAAGTTTAGTCCTAGATAGACTTTTGCATAATCTAAATACACGTGTCATATGTTTGAATCCCCAAACCTTTGATTAATTCTTCAAATTCTTGAAATGTTCAATTATAAAGGTTTATAGATTAAGTACTCATTTCTTGAATTTAGTAAATTTCTTATGTATTCAATTTCTAAATTCCCTAAGTCTCTATGTCTTCGGGTTCTCGATCCTCTAAGTCTCAATCTTCAATTCTTTAATTGTACAAATCTCTGAATTTACATTTTTCTAAATTTCCAAATTTGTGAATCTTGCATCCTTGAATTCTTTGAATCTATAAAACCCTCATTACTCAATTCTCAAAGTATCTAATTGTCCAATTCGACAGCTTTCCAAATTTCACAAGTTTCCAATACCTAATGTCCCAATTCCACAATTTTTCAAATACCTTAATTCTCATATTCCACCATTTCCCAATTACTCAATTTTCCAATTACATAACATTTCAAATACTTAATTCCCCAATTCCACAAGTTTCCAATATCTAATTCCCCAATTCCACAATTTCTGAAATACCTAATCCCCCAATTCCACAAATTCCCAATACCTAATTTTCCAATTCCACAACTTTCCCAATTCCATAAGTTTCCAATAACTAATTTCCCAATTCCACAAGTTTCCAATATCTAATTCCCCAATTCTACAAGTTTTCCAATTCCACAATTTCCGAAATACCTAATCCCCTAATTCCACAAATTCCCAATACCTAATTTTCCAATTCCACAACTTTCCCAATTCCATGAGTTTCCAATAACTAATTTCCCAATTTCACAAGTTTCCAATATCTAATTCCCCAATTCTACAAGTTTTCCAATTCCACAATTTCCGAAATACCTAATCCCCTAATTCCACAAATTCCCAATACCTAATTTTCCAATTCCACAACTTTCCCAATTCCATGAGTTTCCAATAACTAATTTCCCAATTTCACAAGTTTCCAATACCTAACTCCCCAATTCCACAAGTTCCCAAATATCTAATCTTCCAATTCCACAACTTTCCAAATATTTAATCCCCCAATTTCACAAGTTCCCAAATACCTAATCTCCCAATTCCAAGTCCCCAATTTCTCAATTCTCCAAATTTCTACATCTCCATTTCCCAAATATCTCAATCCTCAATTTCTCAAAGAAATTTTCCTGAAATGTACGAAAAATATGTACTGAGATATTCCGAACACTGTCAGATACATTACTGCCAGATACATTACTGTCACTTTGAATAACATTAGACGAAGAGAATTGTTTTGATCAATTGGTCCCTGAAGAGGTTAACAGAGCAGATGAAATTACTTACAGCTAACAAGGCTCCGACGAGGTCAGTAGCCACGGGGTCAGTGAAGGTTTTATCTTCCCTTAGATGTGGCACGTATAGTTCGGTAGTTTTCAACATTTCTATTGCCTGAAACATTAGACATTATTTATTGATTAAAAAGTGATTTGCATTAAGTTTATCATTGAACGAATTCTCCAAATATTATTATATCTTTGTTGTCATGAACAAATCTGAAATCGTTCACCTAAAACAACCACTTCTGAACGTTAATTTAATTTAATTTCAGCAAATAGAGCTGCACTTTAATTTATTGGTTTATGATATTTAACAAATATAACTATTTTCAGCATTTCTATTGCCTGAAACATTAAACATTATTTATCGATTAAGAAGCGATTTATATCAAGTTTGTCATTGAATTCTTCAAATCTTATTTCATGAATGTTGTCATGAACAAATCTAGAATCGTTCACCTAAGTCCACTTCTCAACGAAAATTTAATTTAATTTCAACAAACAGAGCTGTTCTTAAATTTATTTGTTAATGATATTTAATAAAAATAACGGTTAAATAACTAATGACTTGTTTAGAGTCAAGTATACCTTGTCTATCTGTGCAGCTGTTTCAGGATTCGTCGACTCCGTGATCGCGTTAGAAAGAAGTGTGATCACTTTTGTAATTGGTGCTTCCAATTGTAAACTGTACAGTTTGCGCAGACTGGACCGCCTTCGGCCTGAAAAAAAATATAAAAATTCTCAAATTATGAATAATTTTATGACAGAGGTTCGCGTATAACGTCACACAAATTCTAGTTTTCTATGTAACTTATTATGAGATAGAAACGATAGAGATATTGGGAGAAACGTGACTAGGAACTTAAAAATCTCCATCACGTTAATTGCAGTTACCTCACCTTGGTTTTCATTTTGTGTTGAAATTTAATACAGTTAAGTACGCAGTGGATTCTAGTTACATTGTCATTGACAAGAAGAAATATTTAAGAAGACTGAAATCATGCAATGTAAGAGATGTTTCGATGCGTGGAAATATAACGTGGGGTGATTGGACGCGTGGAAGATGAAACTTGAGACGATTAAACGCGTGAAAGATGAAACTTATGGAAATCTGACGCGTGGTGATTTATTCCGTGGTAATTGGGCGTGTGGTGATTCCATATATGGTGATTCAACTCGTGATGATCTTATGTGTTGTGATTTAACGCGTGGTAATCCAAATTGTGATAATTGGACATGTAGTAATCGAACGGGTGGTAATTCAACTTGTGGTA